TTGGCTGATGAGAATAAGGTGAACTAATTAGTGTTTGTGGACCTTGAAGGCAAAACATTTTGTGAGTTGCAGATGCAAAACTAGTGATTTTTAGGAACTGCCCACTGTAAATTATCTTTTTTGCTTTCCTTTGTTTCCTTGCATTAATGTTGATTTGGGTATCTTGAATTTCTGTTCGGCTTTTTTAAAATTTGAAGCAAAATAATGATATATCGCCTTATGATTGTTTTGCAAAATGTCCCGTTTGATCTACATAAATATGTGAGTTTAGACTTTGGGCCATAGAACTAGTAAGTTTGGCTTTATTGTTTATTTTAAATAACAATACTCCAGCTGTAGACAAGTTCTGTAAGGTTGAGGCGAATTCATGTTTTCAAAATCTTTTTGTTAGGCATTGTTTCGCCTCAAATTTTTTTCCGTTGATAAAACGCAGGGAGTGTTTCCATTTTACAATAACAAAGAATAATAAAGAAATTAATTTAAAAAATGGTTTGAACTTTCGAGAGCGAATCTGCATTCGTTCTCAAAAGATACCTAGGATTTTAAGCAACTGTTTAACAACAAACAACAAATTGATGTGAGTTTTCGCTTATTATCAATCACTCTTTTTCAAACTGCAATAAAAATGTGAAAAAATTCTATCTTTTTTCAAAGGCAGTAACTTTGTTTTGAAAACGAATCTTGTTGATCAACACTGAATGTTTTTCTTGAGGGTCCGTGGCGCGTGGTTATTTTCATACTGCTATTACCTAGATAAATATATGGAAATTGCGAGTGATTTTCGGAACACTTTAATGAGGACCGAACCCGAAACAATTTGTTTAGATTATTTCATGCAGTGCATTTCAATAATCAGTGAGTTAATATTTCATAATCTGAAAGTTTGAAGATTAAATTAGTGTCAATAAAAAATACTTATGCACATATGGATTACGCCTGAGTAACACTGTGTTGAGTTCCGCTTTTGAGTTGTTGCCGCTCTCTAAGTTAATGAGTTCTAACTCCTTGGTTGAAGCTGAAAAGGGTTTTCTTCAGTTCCCTGCAAACCGATCAATGAGGCGAATTTTGTAGCAAAATCAATTTTGTCATTTTTGGCTGCAAAGACCCCATATGACTGTCAGAAGCGAAGAAAATCATCAGAAAATTAAATTTTTTTGCGTTTTTGATTAAAAAATTTAGTTTTGTGATCGGTTTTGCGGAAACCTTAATAGTTTTCGGGATAAATATATTTTCGTTCTTGTCCCAAATTCGACTCCGAAAAAAGTTTTTGTCAAATTCCTTCAAAGCTATAAATACATCCTGTACTTTTTCGAGAAAAATAAATCCAGATCGTCAGTATTTTTATGTAAAACTCTACAAAATAGAGCGTTTTTGAGTACAAAGCAACGCAAAAAAAATTTCGTCAAAAATCAAAAACCACATTTTTTTAACAAACACTATAAACACTATAAGTTTTCAAATAATTTATTATAAACTTTCGCTTATTTAGTTCTTTTTTTGATAGAAAATTATTTAATTTTTGTCCAAAACCCGAAGCTGGAAACTGATTTCAAATTTTTTACAAAGCCACGAAGGAGACGCGTGTCCTAATGAAATTTATTTCGTAATTTTTCGTGAAAAATATCTTAATTGTCAGTATTTTTAAGTGAATTTTTTGAAAATTGAGCAATTAGAAAAAAGAGTAACTTTGCTAAAACTGGAAAATTCAGAAGTTTTGAAGAAATGTTAAAAATATTATTGATAAATGTCGTAAATATTATAAATTAATAAGTCGCAGTATTTTAATTGTCGAAGTTGTAGATTCGTAGGTTCGAAGACGATATGGAATTACTGTGGCACCAGAATCTAGGGCTTGAATTAGATCAATATACTATTTTGCTAGTCATACTAGGTTTAATGAACAATACGCTGTGCTTTAAAAGTGAACATAATAGCGTTAAATTGACGAAAGGAAACACGAATACTTATTGATTTCTTATGAATGACTTTATGCCCGTTACAAAAATACTCAGTTCCTATCCTTTTAATATTCCATAAAATATAGTCGTCATTAATAAACGCAACAGCCCACGTTTTCTGAATTTCCCGAATTCCCGTTTCACAAGGACGAAAGGAAAATCAATATTCTAGTGGAAGATCAGCACTGTGGGGGCAACAGGAAAATGGCGGAAAACCGTGTGTTGGCGACATATGTCTTGGATGGTTACCCAAAAGTGTTTCTGTGATAATTTCGGCCCATCTGCATAACAATAAATATGGTAATGCTGCTTTATCAGTGGGGACAAGAAATGACTGAGCATTAAATCGTATAGCTGAAATTGCTTGAACAGATAATAGTTATAAAAGCTACGGTGAGTAGAAGCTATTCTGTGTTAGTTAAAAATTAGTATTGAAAGTGGTAAGTTGCTAATGTATCAAAACATTTTCCAAGTTCCAAAAGCGTTTAGTCTATATATCATAAAGGAAGTACATAATCAAGCCTTTGAGGTTGAAAAACCAATAAAAATTTTGTAGTTAAATTGATTTATAATCTAGTATATAAATACATACACAGTCTATATAGTTTAGGAATTCATCTGAAAGGTTTTGGGAGTTAATAGTAGAGACAATTGCGAACTTGCATACTCAAAATATTACAGTTCTTAATAGGTATAGGTACTGCTTCCGAWGAATGATAATAAAGCGATAGTAGRGTAGCTGATTTTTTATTGTTTCTAGTCAAATTATTGCAGATCAATAATAGCCGTTAGACATTTTTGTAAAAATTATCTTTTCTTCAGTTTTTGAACAATTTAAATGTAGGAAAGAAGCTCTAGCATGAGCTAATACCARAACATCAACATAAAAGACGTAAATAGCATGAGAATCGTATATCGTTTCCATATAAGAATACTCAATGAACATTGAACAAACAATTCTGCCATCCYCATCAGTATCCTCTAGCGACTTCTAACGTTCTATTCATTAACTCCCGTTATGATGGTCAATAAGTGGCAATTTATGTAATTTGGTTTAATCGAATTACTGTACGATTAAGCTAGATATAATATATTTATTGTACGAATTAACCAATCTGAAAAGTATATTAAAAACGCACAAATTGCACGTCAAGGGCCAGATGAAAATGAAATTGTTTTTAATATTTTTCTTTCAATTACCTACTGTTTTTATACACTACCATTTTATCAACTACAAGTGTGCAGGATATCCCAGTTTTAATTTCCCAGCTCCCGTGATTACACGATATGACCAAAAATAAGTTGAAAATTACTGCTTAATGTATGTATTAACTGAACATTTGCATTTTGTAAATTTAAGAATTTTAAATCCTTGGGTTTAACTTAATAAAACTTCTTAACTTTGATACTTGAAAAAGGTGATTGCGATCTTTAAGATTACCATAATTTCGTAAGTTATTTTCTGCTAATTTTTGTCGTAAAATCTAACTTTGGCAGCTGCAGAGCTAATTTTGAGACACAGATCCCGCCTCGTGATAAAAATGTTTGCGTAGTTACACAGAATTTCATTACATTTCCTTGTGCCAGCATGCATTCTGTTTAGTAACATACATTCAAAAATGTAAATATGTAAAGGAATTAGAGAAGTCCGCAGTTTTGGCATTCATTTCTGCCACCGACAGGTGGTTTCGGTAAATTACTAAGACTATAATAAATCAAAATTGTGCTCATTTGTTAAAATTAATAAGGATGCTATGTGCAGAACTGCGAAGCAATTGAGACTACATTTTTGCAATAATTATTATTGTTACCATAAATAAATTAATAAGCTATGTTTATAAGATCAATTAAAAAATACGCAGCGTCAAAAATCGCTTATACAGATTCAATTTCACGTTCACTGTAGAAATAGTGCCACTGAGACTTTTAATAGATTCTTTGCTGTTGACTATATGCTCAAAAATTGTATCTCGTCGACTTCTTGAAGATTTGGCGTATTGAATAACATACCCCATTTAATTTAACTTCCACTGGTCTGAAAGTATTGATTCCAAACTTTCTTATTGGTTATTTATCTTTAAATGGCGTCCTTTCAGGTTTTCTTACTTAACCATGGTTTGTTAAAACGTTTATAAGATCCCGGGAACAGGATGAGAGACTTTTATTATAACAAATAATTCATAATATTAAAAGTCGTGTGCCACCATTTTTGCTCTTTTATTTGCTAATGTGGTTCTAATTCCTAAATTACCAAATTTGTCCAAATTAAGCAGTACAATATATGATAGAAAAATTGACACATTAAGATTCGTTTCTGCTGTTGCTGCTTTGTACATTGCGATCATTTATGTCGAAACCCTTCTGATAAGTATAGTTAAATTATCATATAAAATGGCCATTTCATCTCTTTGCTTCTTCCAGAGCGACTTCGACATTCTCAAGTTCGAGTAACTAGCAAAATAAAATCTAGGAATGAATCTGATACATATCTAATTTAATGGTATAAACAAAATTCATAAAAAAAATATAATCGGAGTTTGATGACAGCAACTTGCAGTAGGTATAACAATAAAATGTAATTAGGTCAAGGAACGGACCTATTAGGGTTAGATAATGATATTTCAGAAATTTACGTAGACTTTGACAAATGTATAATAGACGTTCTAAAGGGCTTCGATAATAAAATCCGTTCACCCCAGGAAACGGAACCGAAAGTCAAACTTTCTTCAAAATACTAATTTGAAACAGTCCCAGTAAGCTATCGCGGAGAACTTTACTTACTGATGCAAAGATGTAAACAAAAATAGGATTCGTTTTAAATAACAAAGGCGATCATACAGTACAAGAACAAACAAATTAAAACTTTAAACAGCAATTTAAAAAGTAATGCAAAAAATTTCAATTGCTGCAGAAAGCTCCGCAACTACTAAACAAGCGGAAAAAATACCAAACTAAAGTCATAAACTTATGAGAAGCAACTAAAATTTGACGTCTTTTGCAATGTACTTGAATAAGACAAAAAATTCAAAACCCCAAATTGACCTGCTTGCTGTAAAAGGGCAAAACATTAATACAGACAATTTGCGGTCATTTAACTTTCAATTCTTCTTCAATTTTATTTTTGATTGGACTAGAACGTAAGAAACTGACCAGATTGTAAAAAATATCTCTGAGAAAAACAAACATTACAAAATTCATAATATTTGACTATAATTAACATAGTCATTAACAGAACAGCACTACATAAAACTGCATTATTTATAATCATTAAAATTAATTCAGGACCAAAACAAAAAATATGTAATTTTTTCCCAGATAGCGAGGTCTCAGTGCATTAACGATGTACAATAATAAGCGATCATTTTAGCACGTTAATGTTATTAATAGCAAACAATTTTATCCAATCTGAATACCTTATCTTTTACTCACTTATCAAATTTTAACTGTGTTTATGTGCCTGTTTATATGATGCTTTCACATGCTTCAAAGAGAAAATTACTAATAACTACAGTAACAAACATCTGATGTAAGTATTGAATATACAAATAATTCAAATAATAAAGGTCAGAAGCTCGTTGATATTTTGTACTCTGGCAATTAATAGAAGCTGTTGATGCAGAGATAAACCTTCAGAGAACCTCAAAAGAATTTGAAATAGCTCCTTCAGTTCAACTCAAATCCAGCTTCAAATAAGAGCACAACATAACGTATTATAGTTAAACGTATCTTTTAGGCCACAGCTTTCCATTTCATGGATGAATTGAATTATTCTGTATATAGAGGTTAGACTATTTCAACCCACATTAGTTTTATCTTCGGCGTTTATATCGGAAGCGGTCAAAAAATATTTCGATGAAGCAATAACAAAGAAAATATTACTTGTATTTATTCGTTTTTTTTTAAACACATACATTATTCGATATTTTGAACATGTTTAATTCCAGTATTTGTAAGAGTTTCTGCAATGCTAGACACACGAATTTTTAATGTAATAATAAAAATAAAAAATCTTAGAAACAGTCTATTTTTTGATTAATTGAAGGTACGTGATCTAACAACATCATGCAAGGACCTGGAAAAGTTTGTTGCGAACTGATTTAGTTATATCTGAAATTAATGCAAAAAACTATACCAAAGGTAAATATGAAAAGTACATATTTACATGTACATGTAAAATGAGTTGTTTTTGYTTYATCAACATTTTTTAAAACAAAACCTCGAACTGTTATGTCGACATCTATACTGCTTACAAAATATGTAGATTTCACCCACAAAGAAAATCACCAGCATGTCTTCTAGGTAAGAAATACAAAACTTCCATTTTCCTACCTATAGATTCAAACTTTGTTCATTTCAAAAATTTAAGGCTAGTAATTTGAAATTCGTTAATTTTCTTTTAATTTAATTATAAATGCTATTTTGAATTATGTTATTTGAAATTAGAAACGAATAAGAGAACCAGCAATAAAAAGTTTAGCTTTATCTTTATTAACTTTTGTTTCACTTTGCTTTGTTAGAATTATTGATTTTGTATTGTGGGACCTTCATTATTATTCTTGAAATCAGCCAGTTTGAAAGTTATGTCAATGTATAACGATAGAATATTTCTTATGAAATGTTGCTGAAACTCCACTATTATGTAATCAGTTGCATAAGTCAGAAAAAAATTATTATGTCTATTAATAAGTATTTCCAATTTGTCTTCCTTTGTCAAATCAATTCTCTTTGCCCAATATTAAATATRTTTTCTACTGCTTMATTGGCGCATTTTTAATCCAAATTTAACTATCAGCTTTTTAGTAGCTCTGCTTGTTTCAAAGSCTGAATTATTTAGAATAAGTGGATTATACGTTGAAGCAAGCGACTGATATCTGTTTTAACCTGTTTCCATAACTTATGCAAAGTAATAAAMCTTAGTCCATTTCCTTGCCTTYCCTTGTACTGGCAAGCCAAAATTTTGAGCAAACACTTGCTGACTTAATTTTTCATTTATTTTTTAACAGATGCCTCTCACAGACATTTTACGACGGGCTTCAACCTACATTCTTGGCTATGAAGAAGCGGCTGAAAAAATGATGAAATATGATAATAATGAGGTACTGTTTTGCAAAAATAACGTTTGTGTGCATCCACCAGCTATGGTAAGACATGAAAATGATATTCTGCATAATCCAGGTAAGTGTTACATAATTTAATTTAAAATGACTTCGCGTTTTAATAAATCAGTTTGCACTGATAAAAATATTTCTCAGAGCAATCAAACGAGGCCATTGAAAAATAAAGATGAACAGAAGCAATTGTTGCTGCCAAAACACATAGCAAATTCATGAAATATATGTTTTACAAATCTTCTGATTATTTTTAACCTATTGTTTCTTCAACTATGTAGTGCGTGCGTCTTTAAACTACATAATGGAAAGACTTTTGAGGAAAATGAGTTGCAAAATTTGCGTTTTTTATTGCAAAATCATGTTGCACTTGTTTCTGTTTTAGGAATGTTTTATGGTAGAATGTTCATTTGCAAAAGACGCAGAACCTACAGTAAAACTACTTAAAATTTATAAATTTGACTCCAACGTTATTCGAATTTTACTGCAATAAATTAATGTTTTTCAGGATATTTAACAGTCACAACGAAAATATTTGTTGATCAATATAATGACGTGAAACGACCCACATTATTCCTCACTTGGATTCCAAATACCGATTTATCAAAGTGCACGACGCCGCTTCAAAACACATTGCACAAAAAGCAAACCAGCTTGGAAAGTTTGACTTCCAACGACTCATTTAACAGTAGCACTTCAGAAAATGCGCTTCGACCTTCCAGTATTGAGCTGAAAAGTACGAATCCCTTTCTGAACTTTGATGACAAAATAGACACTTCTGAGTCGATCAGTTCGGAGGAGAGCGACAAGAATACCACGGGAATCAATATAAATGTGGACATTTCGAATCCGGAAATAGAAATTATTCAAACACCGGATAGCATCAAGGATCCGATAGATCAGTTTGAGTTTTGCAGAAGCGCCAGCGTTACATCTACAGATAGCCAATACCCTTGGATTACTACTCCGGAATATTTGATGCAGAAACACAATCTTAGTTTTCCGGATAGTGTTAATAATTCTCCAATATTGCACCCAAAACGCCTACATAAATGCAGGAGATTTAGCGTGGACTTGAGCCAGATGAGATCTTTACGGTAGGTTGATAGTAAATTTAAAAATATGTTTTTCAATATCTATTGACTTTAGTATTAAAATGTTTCGAACATAGACATAGACTAGGTAATTGAGTTTATTATATTATACTTCCATTAGATATACATTTTGAATCGACGACGGGGTTCAAAATGAAGCATTTAAGATTTATATTATTCTAGAAAAAGTCTACAAATGAAATTATGAATTTGTTAATATTATTTTCGATTATATAATTCGATTAAAGATATTCATTTTACGCAATATTTTTGCTGCTCTTGCTAAATCTCTAGTGAAGATAGAACCAATTCATAGTCCACAAATTGGCTTGTGTTTTCATTTAAGTTGTTTAAGTATACAGGGTTGCTCATTAGTGCGTCAAAGTGCGATATCTCAGTAAATATGAAGTTTACAAGAAAATTCGTCCAACGAAAGTTTTTTACGTTTAAAAGGTCCACATTCTAAAATTACTTTCCAATATACAGGGTGCATCATAAACGTGTGGTAGTTACCAA